TTGCATTATAGATCTAGACTAGCTGCTCAAATCGACGGAATACAAATATGATGTTTTCGCCTGGCATTGCTTTACAACCGATCTTCAATTCCACGGCAAAACGTTGTTGCTGCAGGCTGGCACTATGTGACGGCGCATGGGATGTCTGTGGCAATGGCTCCGCTCTCTGTAGCTAGCTAAGCAGATCACCTGCTCCTCCAGCAACGAAGGCCACTTGCCCATGTCCCCGATGCTGCAACGGTCCAAGATGTTATTGTTGTTGCTGCCGCGACCCACCGCTGGGCTACGCACTATTTTGCTTGGGCCCGCTTCTCTTTGGCTCGTGGCTGTTTGGCCCTGGCAGGACCGCCTTGTCCTTGCGCACGAGCCATGCATGGACGGAATTGGGGTGGACCTTTGGTGCATGCTTGCCTGCTTTTGGTGTTCTTGGGAAACCCGGGCCTGGTTGAATTCAATCGATCAAATTTGAGACATCGAAATGAAAAAAAGGAAAAAAGGCGGTACCAGTACGGGTAGGTAGGTGTACGGTACAGATGATAGATAATACGATTTTAGACAAAAGTGACTGAACCACTGCAGTAAGTTTACGATTTTCTAATGCACTCGGAATCCAAAATTAATAAGCTCTCAGGAAAAAGATTTTGTAGGTCACAAATCCTCAGTTTGAGTTTTACTTTGCTCTCTATTCTCCTGTCATACCAACTTGACCTTTACAAAAGATGTCGTCAGAATTGGTTTGCTACTCTGGCCATGAGATTCTTCCATTGATTTGTTGCTTGGCTTTTGCCATTTTGGTGACTTCCTGCTTTTCCTGCTTTTCGTTTCAAGGCACTCCCCCAATCAAATTGGGTAAGAGGCCTCTTGGTAATGGTCTGTGGTCGTACCTGCTGGACTACTACCAGAGTTCCGTGGGAGTCTGGGGTTATGATCCCGTCCAAGGTGCCTTTGCTGCTCCCTTGCGCCTTCGTTTTCACATGGTCGGATGGCTGATCCTCTGGGCGTCCCTTCTCACCGTCACCCCTTTTGACAGTAGGAAGTGTCTGTCCTCGAAGTTTCGCATTCCATTGAGTGTGCTGCAGAGTGGTGTGGTCAGTCTCTTTTTGTACTCTTTTTTTCAGTACATTGTAAATCACTTTTTGCCCCCTGTGTCGCATCCTGGTGGAGCCTGCGAACACAAGATCCGACGCATTCCACAATGGACCGACACTACCACAGAATTACCCGCCTTTGCCACACAAAACTGGAGATGTGCCGTGGCCGAAGAATCTCATGACATCTCTGAGAAGAGATTTGAAGGAACAACAGCAGCACTCACGGGAGAACCTTTGGGACGACAAATGTGGACCAATCAACCCAAAAGTAATGGCAAAAGTGACACCACAACTGATGACAAACAGGAAGAATTGATCAAAGAAATGGCTGCTGGAGGAAGAACTGACAAACCAGGAACTTTCAATCCGTCAAAAAATCCAAACAGGTAAGAAAACAAAACACAAGACAAGCCCTACACAAGCTGATCAGAACTCACAAGAATATCTCTTTCTTTCTGCATCTTGCCCTATTACTAGCTGTGACCAGCTCTTTCGTGCCAACCAAATTCGATCCTACTTGGCCAAACCCGGAAATCAAGCTCCTGATAACAGCACGGAAAAACAAAAATCCGTCAAGGAAGCCCTCCACAAGGCAGCCCATTTCTATTCCATGCTTCAAATGGATGATGGACATTGGGGAGGAGACTATGCTGGACCTCATTTCCTCATGCCGGGATTGATTGTCGTTTGGTACATTATGGGGAAACCAACACTCATGATGGATGAACAAGCACAACAACTCATGAAACATTACATTCTCGTACATCAACAATCGGATGGCGGATGGGGCACACACATTGAATCGCCATCCACCATGTTTGGAACCACGCTCATGTACGTTGCCATGCGATTGTTGGGAGTCCCCGAGGATGATTCGGCCGCCGTCGCCGGACGAAAGTTTCTCCATGCACAAGGAGGTGCCATCATGACATCGTCGTGGGCCAAATTCTATCTTTGTCTTTTGGGTGTCATGGACTGGAAGGCACACAACAGTGTCCCACCCGAAATGTGGTTGCTCCCCAACTTTACACCCTTTCATCCCGGACGCATGTGGTGTCATGCCCGCATGGTGTACTTGCCCATGTCCTATCTATACTCCCGTCGCTACGTTTACACCCAAGCCAAAACCGATCCCGTCATTTCCAGTTTGCGCAAGGAATTATATGTCGAACAGGACTATGACACCATTCCCTGGTCATCCACACGTCATTGGGTCGCACCGATGGACAATTATTCTCCCATTCCACCATTGATGAAATTCATTCAAAATGTCTTGGCGTGCTACGAAAACTGGGCCGTCTTTCAGCCCTTTAAAAACTTTGTTCGACGATATGCCAATGACTTTTGTGCGGACTACATGGCCGTCGAAGACTTGCAAACCAACTATATCGATATCGGACCTGTCAATAAAGTGCTCAACATGCTATCAGCATTTGAGGGTAAGTGAAACATCAATCAAAATCACAAGTGTTTTCTACTTTTTTATATCTCACATGTCACTCTTCGTCTTTGTGGGCAGTCGCTGACAGTGATCTCCAGAATCAACACGTCATGAATCACATGCTTCGGGTGCAGGATTATCTTTGGATTGCTGATGATGGCATGAAAATGCAAGGATACAATGGAAGTCAGCTCTGGGATACTGCCTTTGCCATGCAAGCATACAATGAAGCAGACTTGCTGGATGAATTCCCCGAGGTGTCCAAAAAGGCGTGGACCTACTTTGAAAGAAGCCAACTCTTGTGTTCCGAAGCAGCCCAGTGAGTTTGTGTCAATTTGTTGGTCATTTGTTATATAAATAGCTGTTCCCTCTCATGAACCCATTTTTGTGCGCTGGTAACCGCTCAATCCATATTGCAGAGCCTCCCCTGCCTATAAGTACGAAAGTGCTGAACTCCGTAAGCAATACTACCGTCACGTCTCTGAGGGGGGTTGGCCATTCAGTACCAGTGCTCAAGGTTGGCCCATCAGTGATTGCACTGCCGATGGACTCAAAGGAGTCTTGTGCTTGCTCAAGTCCAAGGCAGTACAAGAGGGGGTCAACAAGAACACCCTCAAGCCCATTGATGGTGAGAGGCTGGGAAAGGCAATCAGTGTCATTCTCTCCTACCAAAATGAAGATGGTGGTACGTGAATCAATTTGCCGTGGTGTGTGTGGCTACGGACTTGATGTTGTGGCAAGTCTCACTCACGTCTTCTTGTATATTCGCGCCTCGATCAGGTTGGGCAACCTACGAGAACAATCGCGGCTTTGGCTGGTATGAATCCTTGAACCCATCAGAAGCTTTTGGAGACATTATGATTGACTACTCGTACGTTGAATGCAGCATGGCTTGCTTGACGGCTCTTTACGAGTTCCAGCAACGATTCCCCAAGACACGCTGCAGAGAAGTCCAGCATTCCATGGATAATGGAAGAAACTTCCTTAAGAGTATTCAACGAGAGGTAAGTTGCTAATCCTCACCTCCATGCACCCCAGTTCACATCCTTTTACTTATCGCCTGGATTTGCTTTTTTTGTGGTCAGGATGGTTCTTGGTATGGTTCCTGGGCCATTTGCTTCTGCAACGGTAAGAGAAAGGACTGCTTGCTATATGTATTCCTCTGCTCTTCTGACACCACATCTCACCCTTCAATTGTTTGTTCAGGCACCTGGTTTGGCATCGAGGGGTTGGTCAAAAGTGGAGAGCCCCTTGATTCAGTTCCTCTACAAAAGGCTTGTCATTTCCTTCTCAAGCAGCAGCGTCCAAACGGAGGCTGGGGAGAGGATTTCAGTTCTTGTTTGGACAAGGACTATGGTCAGAATGGTATGGACACTTATGGTGATGAAGGTAGCAGTGTGGTTAACACATCTTGGGCATTGCTTGCCTTGGCGTGTGCAGAGTGCAAGGACACAGAGGCCATCAAGCGCGGTATACAGTACTTGATGAAGCGTCAGCTCCCTTGCGGAGACTGGCCCCAGGAAGGCATTCTTGGCGTGTTCAATCGATCCTGTGGAATCACCTACACATCCTACCGCAACGTCTTCCCGATCTGGGCAATGGGCCGATGCCAATCTGTTTATGGCAAGCAGCTAGATGAGTAGAAATTGATGTGTTGCCTTTGCAGGCCGCAACCTGAGTCCCTGTATATAGAATGATTCTTCATTCATACTTGCGAAAGCAAGTCTAGACAAGCACTCTCGATTTTGCTGTTGCTTTTTATTTATCATCCCTCCAGTTGCCGTGTGCTTTTGCTGTTCTAGTAGTCCCTCTGGCGCTCCATTTGAAAACTCCTTGTTTACGGTGACGTTCTACTGTAGTTCTACTCCCTACTGTCCCTACTCGTTGCTATGTATGACTAAAGAAGCTTGCCAGCTCTCGGTCAACATCCGCTCCATCCTAATGTGCATGAATTCCAAGGCAGGACTTGAATCATCGCAGGTATCGCCCAGCCAAGCAAACTCGCGTGGCAGGATTTCCTCTGCTGCAAGACCCACTGCAACAGTCGTCACCATTCGTGCAACTCTCTCCGTTCTGTGCACACGACGATGTGATTGGAGCCGGAGTGGGTGATGGCGAGGTTGGTGTTGACGCCGTCGGCGATGGCATGGGGGGTGAACCCGGGCAAGTGGTTTGTTCCCGATCAACATCACTCTGTGTTGGTCCGCCGACCACATTGGCCCAAGTCATGCTGCCATTGTCTTCATGACTGAGGACGTGGCAATGCATCATGACGCTTTCACCGACATCAATCATGTGGAAGCGTACATCGCAGCTACCGCTGATGCTAATGACATCGTAGTATTCACCATTGTCATGAACACCTCCACCGCAGCCTTGAAATGCCTGCATGTGGTAGACGTGGAGATGATATGGATGGGCTCCGGAAGCCGACACGGTCCATTGCTGGAGCGTGTTGTAGTTCCATGTTCCCAAGGGCGTATCGGGGTCGTAGCTGGCTCCGTTGATCTGAGCAGCCGTCATGGAAATGGAGTAGGTTTCAAACTGCGACGAGGAAAGCGTGGACAAGTCTCGAAGGTAAAAGGGACGGTGGGAAGCCCACGAGCCACCTGTGCTTGTGAAGGGCGTGGCACCCGAAGAGCCACTTCCGCTGACAGAGATCGTCGCCACGGCCCGTTTACTAAAGTCAATGTCACCCCCGGAGGAGCACTTGATGGCCACATCCAAGCGACTGGCACCACTGAGTGTATACGTTGTGGAGGATGCTTGCTTGGGAACTTGAAAGCGCCAAACGCCATCGTGGGCGGCAGCGTGAACGGTGCAGGAACTGGGGAATTCGAGATCCGAAGGTTTTCCAGCAGGGTCGACCGCGACGATGCGCATGCGATACCATTCGTGGGCGTTCATGGAAATGACGTAGTTGCTGAGACCATTTCCCAAGGCCGCGTTTCCCACTTTGCTAGCCACGAGCAAGATTTCATTTCTGTACCATTGTTCAATGGCACTTTGATCAGTAGAGTTGACGCCACTGGAGCTACTAATGACGGTAGAGTCTTCAATGATGAGCATGGCAAAGGCCCCTCCCGAAACCTGATCGTCTGTGGTCAGATGAGAATGCGCATGCATCCAAAAGGTCCCGCCCATGTGATCCGAGGGAATGTCCCAGTGGTAGATCAGACACATTCCAGGTTGCACCTTGCGGCGCGGGTCGTCGGCGTTACCATCTCCACTGATGTGAAGTCCATGAGTATGCAAGTTCGTCTCGACCGAAGCTTCATTCCGCAGCGTCAACTTGTAGGATTGTCCAGGGCTCATGCGAACCAACACACCCGCCGGATCGCAACTGCCGCTGGTGTCACTGGACAGCTTGTAGCCATACTCTCCACCGGAACCCTCACAAAAGATGAGCTCCGCTTCGTTGTTGCTGCTCCATGAAACTGGAGCCATAGAACTGGCCACAGAACCACTGGGTAACACCAGCAACAAGGCGGAAACCACAAGCCAAACGGCAGCAAAGGAAGAACCAAGTACCAGCTTCATGATGTCGACTTGATGTTGACTTGCCGATCCCCGAAAAACAAATGAGATGCTGCTGAAAATTGATGATACACATTTTGAAAAACATGATGAGAATGCTTCGCAAAACAGGAGCTGTGACCAAGAAAAGGCCCGTTTAAAAAAATCCAAAAAAGGGCTTAATCCTTTTTCCAGCTCGGAGTGTTTGACGCAGAGGTGCATAAGTGTTGCAATCCACCCAATCCCAATTTTTGCCAAATTTGTTAGGTGAAAAATCTTCATACAGTAATAGTACTGTATTACTAGTAGTAGCTGCTACTACAGCTGTACAGTGATCATGCTATTAATAGCGGTATGGGCTGGGGACATGGGATCGTTGTGCCGTCAACCGTCAACCAAACAAATACAGTATGGAATTTTTGCGACTAAAGCCCTTGAATGATGAACTGGAAGGCTACCGGTACATCGTATGCATCAGGATTTAACAACCATTGACTTCAATTTAAAACTGCCACAAATTACTATAATAAAAGCCAGCTGAGCTGTCGAAACAGATTACGGGATGCCGCAGGAACAGTCCACCACAAACTTGTTTCCACGACCGGACAACACGCAGCAACAGGAAGAGTTCTGGATCCTGGGCCAGCAGTTGACAGGCGCCAGCAGTTGACAGGCACCAGTATCAATTTGAAATGGAGAATGTGTGGCATGAGTCACCTTGATGAGCCATCAAGAATGGGGTGTTGGAGCCTGCAGGATGACTCAACACAGCCAAATGGCTCATTTCGGGACCAATTCAGCACAGCAAGCAACAGCGTGCATTCGCCATCTTGTGTGGCTGGACTTCTTTTCGAGTCAGTTTGGACTTCTATAGCTTGGCCAGGATAACAATCCTTTTTTCTACCATGCATGTAGGTCCTTCGTCGCCAAAGATCACAATGAAGCCGTCGAATGAGGGGCAAATCGGCCATTGTGGTGAAAGGACGAAATTGCTTGCTGGCCCGCTGACTTGATGCATGCGGTTGACTGAGTTGTGGCGTGCTTCGACGAAGCGCTGCGGAGCCGCGCACCTCTCGGGGGTAACCGCGGAAGAAGCAACTACTACAGTACCAACCTGCTTAGTTGCAGTTATGTAAGTTTCGCTTCTTGAGAGGAACAAAGAGCCGCCAAAGGTTTTATGAACCATTCAAGGAACCTTCCGTAGAAGCGTTTCAATCTCCTTCGAGCCGAATCGAATCGTCATCTCTAACGAATCAGAACATGGCTGTGAAAGACTTTAGCGTGCGATGCGCTGTGCATGCCGCTGTGGCAGCACAGAGAACAGAGAAGCAAGGAAGATTGGGGCTGTGTGTGCGTGTTTTCTGCGCATCAAGCCATTACCTCGTCAAAGCTCTCGTCAAGCAAGTGGTGCAGGAAGCAATGAGGTTGGGTTACCAAGGCGCAAGAATGTGGGATTTTCTGGCTTGCCCCATTCATGCAAGGACTGTGGAGCCGGCCATCATGTCCATCGAAGCAACACAGGAGCCAAAGCCAAAGTGGTCACAGTTACTTTGGCTGGAGGACTCGCCCAGCAAGAATACACTTGTCATTGGTAAACCAGTAAAGATCTCAGGTGTTGACGATATCTAGCTATATAGTAGTTGGCTGCGTGATGGATCTTGAATGTGATTGATCTTTGCATGTTGATTGCCTTGCGTATCTTGGCATCAGTATCCAAGATTGCCCAATGATTAGACTGTGTGGCCTCCTTCCAGTTGCCATGATTCGTCCCAGTCAAGCTATGCATATCTAACATACAGTGTGTGGAGGAGGGTGATAGATCTCTCGTGGACAACAATAAATGAGCTTCCCACGAACACTCGAAGGATCGTGGGAAGGGGACTAAAGTGGCGATCAACTCTTGAGATTGAAAGGTGGGCAGTTGGTAGGATCGTTACAGTAATAAGGGTTCGTTCATTGTTGGTGGTCCGTCATTGCTTCGCTTCTGGGACTGACAATAAGATGCAAATCATGAAAAGCAATCATCGGAACTTGTGGAACATCTATTGTGTACAGAAATGTTGACACTGCTGTCAGCCAGATCAATCTTATTGGGCGAGAACTCTGGAAGGCTGCCGTTTGGAGCTCCCGCGAAGCCTCTCGTGGTACCGTTGATTGGCTGGAAGAAGAATTCCTTGCCGGTACGGTAGCAATTCTACCTACGGCAATAGAGCAAGTGGATACATCTTTCGCATCTTTTGGATCTTTTTGGCTCACACGATTCTAACGGTACAAAAGCTACACGGTGGTTGTGGGAAGTAACCAGTGATGTCCTCTCAGTTTTTTTCTCTTCCTCTTCACCTTCCTAGCTTCGCATAAAGGTATCCTTTTGTTCCTATTCGACCCCAAAAGAACTCTGTGCCAATATCTAGCTACTGGTACGTAGTAGCTAGCTAGAGTAGCGGAAGCAATCAGGTATCATACCTATACCACTTCCTCAAAAGCTCACAACCTTTTCGAGCAATCACTTCACTTCTCATTATCTTTTTGTTATCATCAACCGTACCATCTCGCATCAGATTGATCATTCATTCTACCGTATAGCTAACTAATAAGACCAAGCAAGAGCTACCACCATGACGAAACTCTTAGTCTCTCCGTTTTCCCGCCGCAGGCTTGTGCTTGCCTCGATCTTTCGCAGCAAAAGTCCAGCCAAGAAGAAGGCTGCCCGCGGCAATGACGATACCGGTACTTGGAAAGATCATGACAGCAATCTGGTCATGGACAAGACAGAAGAGGAAGAAGGAAGCAGCGTCGAGATTGCTCTCATGAAACTGGAAGAATCGGATACGGAAGTCACCGTGGGCAGTACCAGTTCTTGGGTCTCCTTGGAGTTGCCCCTCAAGCCCGACGCGGAAGTGCAAGTCGCCATCAAGGCCAAGCCGCAGCCCAAGAAGAAGAGTGTCGCCTTTTCCGACGTGACGGTCCGCCAGTACGAGCTGATTCTAGGAGATAATCCGGGCTGCAAGTACCCGCTCTCTTTGGGTTGGAACTATGCGGAACAAGCCATGGTCCAAGTCGATGCCTTTGAACAAGACCGGGAACGCCGTATGGATGTCTCCAAGAATGATCGTATCGAGCCGCGGCTCTACTTTGCTCCGGATGAAACCAGTCCTCTCTATATGGCAGCCGATCACTACCTCAGTGACGTCCACATGGAACAAGATTATTCAGACTACAAGCCTCATGTTCCTACGGAGCTATCACTCTACGAACGAAGAGCCCGGTTGCGGGCTTTTGGGTACACGGAAGCCAACCTGAGAAACCTAGAGCGTCAGAGGCTCACCGCTCTCGCCCTGGAGTGGAAGAATGGTGGCACCCCCGCGTTCCCCTTCAGCCACAAGTACGTCTCCCGGTACACCAAGTAAATCATCCATCTCCTCCTTCTTCTACCTATCTACCTGCCGGTAGATCTATCGATACCTACCTGCATGCTGCACTATGGTCCTTCATCCTATTCAATAAGTTCCATGCAGCCAAGACACACACACATCATCCACAAGTGCCCTTTCTGTATTCATGACGTTACACGGATCGTTATAAGGTGCATCACCCAAACCATTCTTACAGAATATGTCTAATTCTATTTTTGCTTCAGTCCTCCTCGATCTTCATCAATCTTGCGTTTGCTCCGGTCAATCGATCGTTTCAGCTGTCTCCCAAAAGCCACGAACACGACGACCGTATACTATCAATGACGATTGATGATCACTGCCCAATCCATGAAAATGCCCCGATCCAAGTCAAGTGAATGGAACCAAAACGCCGCTGCGCGTATTTGCTTTTTGCCTAATAATTTTTATAACGAATAAATAGCACATTAGTTTATCAATCAGTCCAGCCCATGGCAGCCTGACTTCGAGGACACAGGATGGAGGATCATGCTCCGTGCCATCCGACCTGGACGCCCACTTCAGGCTGGCTGCGCACAAACAATCTCGAGGTTGCATGCCATAAAGACCCATCAGCCTAGCCTAGCTAGTACGACAGCCACTCTAGCAGCTATGGAGGGCAATGCCGTACCCACTGCATGCTACGAGGGGAAGGATACGTACAGTACCGTATCGTATGGTTGAGAGCAATGCTGGATTCTTGTTCCGGCGATGAGCTTCGCGTTGACCGGATGAAAACGAGAAGACCAATCGCTCGTCATGCATACATTTTCAAGGTAGTATTAATAATTCAATGGCATCAATATATAGGTGTGTCAACGATTGTTACTTTAGAAAACCATGTGTGGTTCGTTAGTAGAGGTAGCATGATGTGATTGATTTTTGGAGGACTTTCCTTCTTCACGTGCCATGGAGGTGCCTTCCCATCACTCTCGCGGGGATACGACAACACCGGTACACGCGAAAGATCCCATCAGGCCTCACAAGGAAGATATACAGCGCGAATAACGAACAACGAGGTGGAGCCAGAGCCCCGCTAGTAAAGCATTGTGGAAGGATCGTGGAATGAATGAATGAATGATGATGTCGACGAAATCCGCTGTCCCTCGATCGTGGCACTCATCAAATTAGTCTAACGGGTGCAATGCAGTAGTTTCACGGTTCTTTTTAGTTTCTTTCCATGGAAGTGAATTGTTCTGTCTTCTGCGCCGGTTTCCTTCATTCATACATGTCCGGTATCCTCCTTGCAACGGAGGACTCCTTGCAATGGAGGACTTGTTGTTGCATGGAATCCAATTCCATTCACTCAAACCTTCGTTCGTCCAAGAAGTTTTAATAATCATGCAAGTACATGTACGTTGCTTCATGGTTATCATTGTCGTGTTTTTCTTTCTTTTCTTTTCTTTTCTTTTCCTTTGATATGTATGTATTAGGATGTTCCACCAATCAATTTATCCAGACCTGGAACCTTTTGAGTAATTTGTTGTACGGTATCTTTTCCTGCCTTGTCTTCTAGAAACGCCATGAGTTGTTTGACAATCTCGGCGGCCTTGTCGGGTGTGACTCCCGCCGTGGACAGTAGGTTGGTAATGGCAGCAATGTCCGTTCCTTTTCCACCCGTTGCCTTGTTCAGCAGATTTTCAAGACACGACGGCAGGCATGATTTGGGCGGTGCATCGTCTTCTTCTTCTTCTGCTGCTGCTGCTGCATCAGTAGTGGTATCTCCAGTAGTACTAGGTCCAGCACGAGTTTTGGGTTCTTCTGGTTTGTCCTCGTTGGTATCTTCTTCTTCTCCTTCTTCTTCTTCTTCTTTTCGCTTGTTTTCATCATCATCATCTGGCTTGTTTTCGTCTGCTGCTTCTGGAGTCCCCAAATACTTGTCGGCACCTGGCACTTTGGTGGAAATGGTCTTGATGACATCAGGAGGAGCATGCTGCTGGATCAACTCCAACACTTTTTCTGTCACCGATTCCACTTGCTCTGGTTTGACACCCACTTTGCCTGCCGTCTGAGTCACAAACTCAGGAAGCGAGTCTGGCTTGCTATTACTACTACTATTAATAGGAGTCTCTTCTTCTTCTTCTTGGGCATCAGCGGGCAAATCCCGCGATTGCTGTACGGGTGGAAGCGCACGAGACTTGTTGTTGTTGTTGTTGTTGGAGGGTCGTTTGTGATTCGAGGCGCCACTGCTCAACTCCACGTCCATGTCAGGACGAGGACGTCGTTCGGTAGCTGTTGTTGTCCCTGCCATGGTCCACACCACAATTATGAGAGACAGGTGAATGAATGAATGAGGCCACTGGTTCTTTTGAGAAAATGACGGAATGGAATGACCCGAGAATGGATCTACAGCCACCAAACCTCTGGAACATTGAGGAAAGGGCATTTTCTTTCTCATCTTTCCTGTACTTTACCCTACCAGCACGTAC